GGACTGGGGCCCGCGTGGCCGGGGTGCTGGGGAAGAGGTCAGGTGGGCACTGGCCCCTCTCTGTCTCTCTGGGCCCGGGTGCTCGAGGGGACCGACCCTGGCCAGGCCCGGCAGAGACAGCTGGGTGTCGGGGACAGCAGCCCGAAGCCCCGCTAAGGAGGGTGACCCGGGCTTTCCTGGCATGGAGATGGGGCGGCACTCTGCCAGACTCTTGGGGGGCTTCTCGCCACCTTCAACCCTCTTCCCCACCTGAGCCCCAGGAGTGCGGGGAGACGACCCCATGCCCTGCCCCGACGACAGCTCACCTGTCCCCTTTGTCGGGGCCCTCGGGGACAGGCACACCCAGGATGGCTGATCTCAGCATCACGTAGTCCCGGAGGTTTGAGGGGATGAAGATGTAGCGCAGGTCCTGTTGGGCCGACAGACACTGAGCCCCGGGCTGGGGGGGCACCCCGTCCCGCGAGCAGCCGAGCCCTGGGGTCCCGGTCTGAACCACAGCTTGACTTAGCAACGGACAGCATTTTGCAATGAATGGCTGAAAGGCAGCGGGGCAGACTTCAGCAGCTTCCCTGCTGCCTGGGACCCCTCGCCCGGGTGGGGCGGGGTGGGGAGGGGGAGCAGCCGCCTGTCTCCAGGACACACCGGCCACCCGCGAGGGCCAGGCCGGCCAGGGCCCGACTCCGGCCACGGCCACCCAGGCTGCAGCCATCCGAGAGGCCCTGCACAAAACCCCTTCGCTAAGACCCCCCCCCATTCCTGCCCATTCAAACTGAGATGTCTGTGGTTCAAGCCCAGTAAGTTTTGGGGTAACTTGTTAAACTGAGTAAGTCACTCATGGGACTGGACAATTTGGTCTATCAGGGGCCAAGAGGCTCTGCTGTGGCAGGACACTCCTAAACTCCCTGGTGAGAGGAGGCAGCTTCAAGAAACCCCACTGGCTTGGGGGGTGCCGGAGAACCCGCCCGGGGGGCCCCGGAGTCCTGCACCCAGGCAGCTCCAGAGGGCGGAGGGAGGTCCGGAGGGATCTGGCCCTGCCTTGGCTCTGCCGGTCGGGGAGCCTCAGTCTCCTGGGGTGGCCCGAGTTACAGAAGGCGGCTGGAGTCGCGGGCTACCGGGGGCCTTAGGCGCGCTCCGCGCAGGCCGCCCACCAGGCCCTCCGCTGGGCCACAGGCCTGGGCCCGCCTCCCCCAGGCACCGGGGTCGCCCCCGCGGGAGGCCTCACCTGTCCTCGGGGCACGGCGGTGAAGCCCAGGTGGCGGTAGGAGATGAGCGAGTTCTTCATGGTGTTTGTGGAGAAGCCGTAGAAGGAGGTCTTGGTGCCCACGTCCCGCTCGAAGCCTTTGATCACGGCGCCATTGAGTCTGGTCCCGAGAGAGGCCGAGCGGCTTGCAGTGACCCCTGCCCGGGTCTGAGCTCCCGCGCCCGGGCTGCTTCAGGCCCGCCCCTGGTGCGGCCGCTCCGCCTGACCCACACTCCTCCGGGCGGGCGCAGGGGCGGCTGTGACCTGGTGACCTTGGCTCGGTGGCTCCTCCCCCCGGTCTCCTGGGCATCCGGGCACCCACGCCCGGTCCTCAGGCGGGCTGTGCCGCTGTCCCGGCCTGTCTGTGCAGGGCCACGGCCGTGCTGCCCGCGGCTGGAGCCATCCTGGCCCAAGGCCCCAGGGGCTGGCTGGGGCCCAGCTCTCGGCTGGCTCCTCCCGCCCCCGCGCTGGCCCCGATACCTGAACACGTAGTCATGGGCGTCGATGCTCGGCCCCTGGCGGGAGCCGTTGAGGATCCCCCCATTGCCCACCACAGCGCAGCGCACACAGGCGGGAGGCCGCTGCCCGGGGCCTGCCAGCAGCTGGCCGCTGTCCGAGCTGTTCAGAAGGCCCAGGGTGGAGGCCACGGCTGTGGGTGCGGACAAGGGCCCCGGGGAGGGCGGTCAGGCGGCTCATGGTTCCTGGCGCCTGCCCGACCCCAGCCCCTCCCCAGGGCGGGGGAGGAGAGGCAGTGGCTGAGAACCAGCAGGGGCTGTCTGCTGCACCCCTCGAGAGCTGGGATCCCAAAGGAAAAGAATCAGAGGCGCGTGGGGTAGGCCACTGGGGCTCCGAAACTCCCGCCTCAGCCACCTGGGGCTCCGGAACTTTCCACCAAGAAGCCCCAAGATGGCGGGGCTGCTGCACGGGGCGGCCACAGCCCCCTCTGGCCCCGGGTGCTATGGGGGGAGCAGGGCAGGACCTTGGGCAGTGGGGTGGGCCCTGAGAGCCAGGAGCGAGGGGTGGGGTGCGGAGCCCGCTGCTCCCCGGTGCCGAGAGGCAGGGCCAACAGTGGGCAAGGCCGGCTGGGGGAGGGCAGTGCTTACCTTGGCGGGGGAGACCCTGCCAGCCGTAGGGGGCTTTGTGCCGGCTCAGGCTGGCCCAGAGCTCCTGGCTGAAGAGTCCCCCCGACAGCAGCACTGGAGTGGAGAGATTGAACCGGCCCCGGAAGTGGGGGTGCTGCCGGATTTTGAGAGAAAGTGGGTGTTGGCAGGACCGGCCCTGGTGTGGGTGAGAAGAGGCTGAGTAGTTAGCTGGGGGCCGCGCAGGTCAGGGGGCCGCGGCCCCTCCCCCCGCCAGACGAGGCTCACCCCCAGATCGGGGTGCAGCAGCCGGCAGGAGTCAGAGAACTTTCTGGATTTACTGTGCCCTTCTGGATCTCTGTGGCCGCCTACTCGGCCACCGCACGCCTGGCGGCACCGTGGGCAGCTCTCACGGGGTGACCTGCCTGCTCTTTGGTGGAGTCCCCTCGGCCTCGTGCCCGCACCCGAGTCCTCATGCCGAGTCGCGTGCAAAGGGCCGCTGGGAAGATCTGACCTTGCTCTGGCAGGAGGGCCCACGCTGGGCTGAGTGGGGTCCGCCCCAGCCCTGCCCCCCAGAACCTCAGGACGTGTCCGTATGTGGAAACGGGGCCTAGCGGATGCAGTGAGGATGAGGTCATGCCTTATTCCTTCAAGATTTCTTTATTTATGCACACAAGAGCTGGGGTGCAGGCCAGAGGTATGGGGGGTTGGGGTGGCGAGAAGATTCATAAGGGGGAGCAGAACAGGTGGATCTACTGAAACCCACTGCTGAGGGGGCAGCGGGGAGACAGGAGGGGTCTGCTATACCCTGGGGGTCCCTCCCTGGCCGGGGGTAGAACTCAGGCCACCCTGGCTGTGGCCAGCTTCACAGCACTGAGACTGACCCTTGCGCCCCCAGGGAGGCCCCAAGGTCCTCCACAGTCAACAGCCAGGTCCTTATGTGAGTGAAGACCCCAGAGAGGGGCGGGCTGTTGGAGACCCCTGAGGCTTAGAGCGCGGAAGCAGCAAAGTCTCGAGGTCACGGCTGGAAGACGGCCGTGAGCAGACCGGGACGCCCGTCTCTGGGTCAGCAAAGCTAAGTCTGAAGGAAAAGCAGGTGTGCAGGCAACTCACTCTGAGAACGCAGAGCCTGGCAGGGAGGGCGCCAGACTCACGCGGTGCCAAGAGAAGAAGTCATCTGGCCGCTACCCTGGGGGCGGGGCGGCTTGTCTCAACAAGAACCGAGTGCCCAGGACGCTGGAGCCGGCCGAGACGCCTGGTCTGTGGCCATCTGTGCCTGCAGCCCCGGGCGGGAGGCGGCCACAGGGACCCGGTGGAGGGTGCAGGACTGGCCGCTCTCCCCTTGGGCACTCAGCTGGTCCCCAGGCGGAGCCCCCCCCCCCGGCCCCGCCGCCTCAGTCAGCAAGTCCCCGTGTCCCTCGGGCACCCATGACGGCTCTTAGCCAAATTAACCAGCCTGCGCCCCGTGGCCGGCACAGACCGTGCCCAGCCTGTTCAGATCAGGCACGGCTGCCTGCACAACCCCCTCCCTCCGGGCGAACGCAAGTGTCTCGCGGCCGGACGGTCACGCTCTGCCCAGCAGTCACTGGCGCTTTCAGAGTAAAAAGGCGTTTTGAGGAGCAGAAAGTAAAGCCCACAGGACTTGTGAAGATGAATTACAAGGCTGGCTTTTCAGCTGGCCAAACCCCAGGGCGCAGCTCATCCTCCCTGGGGCACAGCCGCCCAGAGGCCAGGCCCGGAAGCCCTGACTGCTGGCCACCGCTGAGGCTGCCTGCCCAGCAGGAATGTTCTCCTCCCTCCTCCCCCCAACCTGGGGAGGTGTGAGACCCTCCCCCCAAGCCCCAGTCGTCTTCCCGTACCTTTCTTGTCCTAGAATTCCATGCCTTGGGCCCAGAGAACGCTCCAGAAGCTGTGGTGTTCCTGGGGACAGAGAAGCAAGATGATCAGGCCCAGGCCCCAGCTGCCCCCGGACCCTGGACTCGCAGCTCCTGGGGCTGGAGAGTCATCAGGGTCAGAGGTGTCCACGCTGATGCTTGCCTTTCTACGCCTGACCCCTGCCCTGCGTGTGCCAGACTGGACACTGCTCCACGGCCAGGTCCGCCCCACTCAGAAGCCAGAAGCTGGGAGCCCCTTGGCGAGGGGCAGGAAGGCAGAGTTTCTAGGGACAGCGAGAGGGTGGGTAAGAGATGAAAGCCTAAACAGGAAAGACTGCCAGCCCCCTGGAATGTTGTTCCCTGGGGTCTAGGGAGACCCCAGGTGCCGAGGCCCCAGGTACAGCGTCCAGTCTCAGTCCATGTGGGCCCTCTGCCCAGTGGACAGTCCTGCCCTGCGGGTCTGGCAAAGGCCTGGGTCTGAAGCCTGAGATCTCGGGTGTGTATCCCCTGAGTTCTGGAAGCCACGAGGCTCCTCAGAACCTGATGTCTGCATCTGGACAGCAGGGGCCATCACATGGACGGCATCGAGCCCTCCCTTGCTGGGCTGCATCTGCTCCGTTAGTGCCTGCAAACGTTTGCGGTTGTTACCTGAAAGGTGGAAGGGAAGGGCCTTGTCCACCGCCATTTTCCCGAGGGACGGAAGGGGTTCATGTTGTCGCGTCCCCCCCAGTGACCCCGGCAGCAGGCCAGAAGACAGACAAGGAGGGGTCGGGGCCCTGGTCCATTCAAAGCATGGTCAGGCTGCTCCCAGCCTCCTGCCCTCTCTGCTGCTGCAGCCACGGAGTGGGGGCGCTGGGCGCGCGGGGG